AACTCCTCTGCTTCTTTTGGATACCCAAACCCCCACACATCTGGATGACATGGGTCTTCGAGTCATTCGTTTTTGCTTTCTTCATCGACTGGGAACGGATGGTGAAAATATGTTTGAAAAGACCCCAGTGCGGTCGACACCCCAAAAAGTTTTCACACATCGACACGAACGCGGCAAGGTACATGATGGTATTGGAGGGAAAATGGTGGAGTTGGGCACCGAAGAAGTTCAGGAAGCCCCAGAAGAAGGGGTGCGGAGGGAGCGAAAAACCCCGGTCGACATGGGTGGCGAGCAGTGCACACTCACCCGGTCGAGGCTGCGGCTCCGTCTCCCCCTCAGGCAGCCTTGCTGCACCCTTGGCGATCAGCCCGTACTCCGCCAGCTCATCCGGATCTTCTTGCCGGAGCGAAGACCGGATCCAATCGCCCTGGATCCAGCCTGGTGGCAGCCCCGCGCGCGATGACGACCCACGGTTCTGCTTCTTGCCTTTCGCCGCCCCCGTTGCCTTCTTCGCATGCTCCAGCGCCGTCGTCTTGTCCTTCACCATGGCGGCAGAGCGGCAGCGTCGAGAGCAGAAGAACTAGATGCGGTGAAGAAGCAGAGGAAGAAGAAAGAGAAACGGGTGTGCACAGTGCAGACGCCTCGGCCCCATCGCCTTATAAAGGGCTGCTCCCGAGTGGCTGACGCATGGGACCAGGTAATCCTGTCAAATCCTGCAATAGTCGCGTGCAACGTACGTGGCGAAAAAGGTGGCGCAGAAATTGAGGCACTACTGTTTATCCACCCCACTTACTTCGGCGCGCCCCGTCCCGCGCGCTTCCCCGAAATTTCATATCCCGTGAAATCTGGGATACACTGCTATCAATCGCGTCAAAGATTCTGCACCCCAAGACAACACTCGGCAGACGATACAACAAGTTCAGTCGGCAACTCTCTGAATGGATCAAGGTGACTGAATCAATGCTGAAGTACCAACGTGAGCCTTCCGTCCTGCGTAAAACACTCGCGAGACGCGAAGCTCGCAACAAGATTAACTTCAGCCTACTTTCCATTCGAATCTCAATCCATTCAGGGGCTAATGATGAGGATACAGACCTGGGATAGGGTCATAGGCCTGACCTATACGTCCTACTCAAGGTCACTACCCTAGAAGATAAGATGTTCAAGAGGCAGCAAAGAACCCCCGGTCAAAGATGTCGAGTGCAATCCACTCGACCAGTTATATCACTCGGGTGTCCCCTTGCCTGTTGTCACTCGACCATATGAAGAATCACTCGACCTATTGAAGGCCACGAGTCACTCAGCACTGCTTCGATCGGACATTCACTCCGTAGTCTTTAAGATCATTAATAACTCTTAAGGCTGGCGTTATCAGTAACGCCCCTACTTTATGTACATTAAGTCCCTTGTAATGAAGGATGGCTGGGGTCCTGGCGCACTCTATATAAGCCACTCCCCTCCTCTGAGACAAGGGTTGGCACCCCCTGTAACATCACAAACATATAATCCAGTCGACCGCCTCCCGGCACCGAGACGTAGGGCTATTACTTCCTCCGCGAAGGGCCTGAACTCGTAAATCTTGTGTGTACACCTTCACCATAGCTGGGATCTTGCCTCTCTATACCTACCCCCCTTTCTACTGTCAGTCTTATAACCACGACAACCGCCACGTACGTGTCTAACAACCTGGTCTCACCTAAAACCATCTCCCACGTGACCGCACCTCCACTCTCCGCGCCGCATTCATGCCGGCCTAGAGCAGACGCGACCGGTCAGTGAAGCCAGCAATGAAGTTGTTCCGGCACCGTCCATCCTATGTCCGCTCGATCTCCGCGCATGCGCCGCTAGATCAGAAGCACACAACGGTCACAACTCACAACTCACAACTGGCCTCCGGGCCACGCCGGATCGAAGCCGGTCCACGACCTCTCCAAGCCCGCCAGGTCCAGTGGCTCCACAGGACTCCATCTAACACATCAGCCAAGGAGACACTCAGCGGCGGATCTTGTAGGGATGCTCTTAAACAATTGGATCCAGTAGGGTTCAATAGAGGTATGGTATCGGCAACCTTTTAGGGAGCTATATTCTTTGGAATAAGATAGCTGCCCAGAGCTTGCGACGTACCTACCCCCTGGGCGTAGATAGAATTAGGTAAGATAAAAATCTTGGAAATCAGTCGCTTCCCTTCTGGACTCAAGTCAGCAGAAGAGTGAACTTCATATTAATAGGTAAATCCTACATCAAGCGTAAAGGAAGTACACTTTTTTTGATTCGGCGCTTAATAACTCGTACTTGACGTTAGTTTCGGTTCGACGCTCCGCTAGGTCAAATTGTATGATCTGAATGTAGGAGGACTGTTGCTGGTGACACAATTTCTTTTGGGTCTGAAGAATGGGTGCCATGGCAGCCCCTCCAAAACTGTAAAATAAATTTTACTATTTATGTAACACTAAATATCTATGAAATTGATGCAATTTTAGACCTATTTGTTGAGATTATGATACTCCTTCCATTCCTTAATATAAGGTGTATAGACTTTTGAGAAATAATTCAAAATATAAGGTGTATTGCGTTGCACCACTCGTTTGAATAGGTTTTTTATGGATTTGATTACATATTCTTATATCAGGCAAGCTCCTCTATTTTCTCATGCCAATTAGTAAGTTGTAATCCCACCCAAAATTTGTGAATTTTTTCCTCCACGTGCGTTTTTAATTTTCCAGCCAAAATCTATACACCCTATATTTAGAAATGGAGGGAGTAATATTTAGCGTGATTTTTGAACTGTGGCACCCCCAAGGCTGGTATTTTAGGTCCACCACTGGAGCCACTATCCCACATGCGGATTGCACTAGCGGCCACCAGACCACTGGGAGAAATCCCATCGCCACCTTCCGCCGTGCGGCCTTCGGCTGACAGCCTCCTTCGGTGACAACGAGAGGAAAAGAAGGGTAGACGCGGTCGGCCGTGGTGCAGCCAGTCCACCACCGATGCCGCCCGGGAGCGGCGCAGGTCAGATCTTTTTCGCGGAGCGAGTGGCTAGACAAAAATTCTATGCTAATGTAGCTTGCAAAAAGTTTTATATTATAAGACGGAGAAAGTAGATGACAAAGTCTTACAATGAAAAAAAGTAAAACGTGCTGAAGGCCACAGACAACAAAGGGGAAGAACCAACGAGCACGCAGGCTCGATGACAAGGACCAATTTGACACGACACCTTTTGCCGCGTGATTTAGCTGCTTCACCACGTGCAGGAGCTTAAGTTCCGTAACGCTTGCAGACGCTTCCTTGTCGTTACTTTTGTGCTTTTTTTTAGACTAGTTAATGTATGCGCGCAATGCATATTAATTTTAAAGTATATTAAATGCATGCGGATATTAAATAAAATATTATATGCATGTTATTATGTGGTTAGTATTATATTTGGCATGAAATTAACTGCACGCTAAACGTGTTGAGCGCTCAACATTGAAGCAGTCTAGGTTATTGGATTGACATGATTTGATGGCCGAGATTAATTGGATTTATTCATTTAAATCTTTTTATATTGGTATAGATATAGATATAGACGATTGTTTGTCCTTTCTAGTAACCCTTGTGGTAATGGTTTTGCAGTGGAAATGTCATTTCGCTCTCCTAGCTATTTAAACGGGAAACGTTTGGAGATGGTGCGCCGGCCGAAGCTTCGGCCGGTCGCCCGCTACCCCGTGCTCCTGTGTCAATGAGACCTGCATCCGCACTCCATCTGCTGCAGCCCAATTTCGCAGGCGAGGCCGCCGTCCACCCCCGCATCGCGCTCCTACCCCGCTGCAGCCCAATCTCACCGGCAAGGCCGCCGTCTACCCCCCGCATCGACCCTCTACCTGCGGCAGCCCAATCTCCCCGGCGAGGCCGCCGTCCACTGCGCGGCCGGTGATTTCCCCACGCGCACGACACGTCCACCCCCTACCTACAGTTTTCACGCGCGTGCATCCCCTCCCCCCTCCTCTCGGGCTGTGTTTGGGCCACCACAAGCTCCATCGCCGGCGGCCAAGCGCTCCCTCGCCGACCGCCATGGCTGCCTGCAGCCATACCCGGATCCTCCCGCGTATACAAGTGTTGCAACCGTCATCTAGAAAAGCTTCAACAGCCGTTGAAAAAAGCTTCAACCATAGACATAGAAAGCTTCAATGGCACTGCACACCAAGGGAAAGCTGCAACCGTTGTTGGATTTTGCTACTACCGGCAAAGCTTTTTGCTACATCCATCAGGCAGAGCTGCGACCTCGCGAGGACGACAATGATTTTTTTGCTGCAACCGTAGTTTGCTACTACCGTTGGAGGTTTTTGCTACATCCATGTAAGGCGGAGCTGCGACCTCGCGAAGGTGGCGACGGCGTTTTGCTGCACCCGTAGTTTGATTTTGCTACTATCGGTGAAATTTTTTGCTACATCCATTCAAATGGTGTTGATTGACTCATGGCGGCCGTCGACGTATTTTTCCTGCAGCGAGCATCAATGGCGAGGGCGGCGGAGCTACAATCTTCATCGTCAAGAGCTGCTACCGTAGGTAGAGCTGGTGCATTGGTCGAGGCGAGAACGAGGCCGGGAGGGTGGGGGACCGTTGACAATGACGGCCGGCGAGGGCGGGGTCCGGTGGGCGACGAGGAAGACCGGCGAGGGTGGGGACTGACGACGGGGACGACCACC